GTTTTAATTTGTGATTGAGAAGATTTTGGTGATATATTAAATTGAATAATCCATATTTTTTTGCTATTTTTAGGGCTTAGAAATTAGGAGAATAAATTGTAACTAAAATCTTAAATAATAGACTTAGGGTTCGTTTGGAATGGCTTTTTTACTGCTTCTTAAAGCAACTTTTTGACATAAAAATTTTATTTATTATATTAGAAAGCTACTTTAAAAAGCAGTAAGAAAGTCATCCCAAACGAAGCGTTAGACTATTAGATATGTATATCATTTATATAATAATTTAACTATATTCATTTTAAAAATTAGGCATATTATGTAGCAATTTATTTATATTAAAGGGCAATCTATGATGCATGAAATAAAGCACATGAAAAAAAAAGTATGTACATTCACATATATCAGAATATTCTAATATATCTGATACGTCATCCAAAAATTATCTTAATCAGGCATGAATCTCGAAGCAAAATCAAGTTGGAAACTTCCAAAATTAAAATTGGGATCATTTGAACTTCGATTTCAGAAACTTATAGTCAAGTTGAACGTTTTAGAAATACAAACCCAACGACACCAAATTCGACTTAAACCGAGCCCAAATGATTCCAAATCAAGGACCCGAAGCGCTGTTTGGAAGGTTCGAACCACATATTGGATTACCAAACGGTTTCCAAACATTATGTGCTTATAGTCGAATCGAGCGGCTCGACGAGACAAAACTAGCGAGCCCAAGATTGCAAAATTTTGATATCATTAAGACCATCAAACTTCTGACGAACGGTCCATGATCAAGGGATTCAATATCGGTCATTCATCCAACCACTCCCTATTTACCCTTGATCTCTCACCTTGAAAGGAGGGGTCCAAGCAAGAGAGAGATCGGAGATCACTCTTGCCTCATCACTCCTCGACCACCGCTTGAGTTCCGTCGAACTACCACCTGAGGTCGTTGCTCCGTCGGACCATCGCCTGACGTCGTTGCTCCGCCGGACCACCACTTGAAGCCCTAAGCTCCACCAGACCACTACTAGAGGGCCTCACCTTCATCGGATCACCGTCTGACGTCGTTGCTTCGCCGGACCACCAATAGAAGCCCTGAGCTCAGCCGGACCACCAGTTGAGGCCCTCAGCTTCACTAGGCCACCACTTGAGGCCCTCACCTCCGCTAGACCACCACTTGAGGCCCTCACCTCCGCCAGACCACCGCCTGACATCTTTACTCCGCCGGACCACCACTTAAGGCCCTAAACTCCGTCAAACCACCACTTAAGGCCCTGGGTTCTGCCGGACCACCACTTTAGGCCCAAACTTATCCCAAACCACTACGTGATGCCTTGACTTCAGCCGCACCACCACTTGAGGCCCGGACTTCTATCATACCACCACTTGAGGCCTGAACTTCTACTAGAACACCACCTGAGGCCCGAACTTCTGTCGGATCACCACTAACGCCCGAACCTCTGCCGAACCTTTACTTGATTTCCTGAGCTGCACCAGGACACCACCTGATGCTCGAACTTCTACTGGACCACCACCTGAGGCTCGAACTTCTATCGGACCATCACCTGAGATTCAGACTTCTATCGGGACACCACTTGACTCTCAGAGTTCTCCCAGAGTACTGCCCTTCTACTACAGTTTTTCGGACCCTTATCTCTTGTCGACTATGATCATTCCGACCTCCATCATCAGACAATGATCTTTTTAACACCGGTCTCTCGCCAGCTACAATCTTTCGGACCCCTGTCTAGTGTCGATTATGTCCTTTCCAACCAAAAAAATATGTCTATGTTGATTATTGTAACTCCCACCATGTATTGCGTTCTTTATGGCGTACATTTGTTTCATCAAGTTAAGTCATTCTCCCAAGTAAGGGCCTCATTTGTAATCAACTGCAAATACTAGCTAGTGGATTCATTCAAACTGGGTCAGACCCCGTGGTTTTCCCCCTTTTTAGGGGTTTGCACGTAAAAACTCTTGTGTCTCTTATGAACGCTACACCCTTTATCTAATCTGCTTGTGTGCTGGATCTTCGTACAATGCTAAGACGTTAAACTATGTATTTCTTTTTCATCGCGAATACTCTATGACACAACAATAATATTTTTTATGGTATTCATAAGGCATTATTGTTGAAAAGACATGATTTTTATAAAAATATTTTTGTTTTATAATACCTTCATTAAAATTTTAGAATTGTTTCGTGTCAAGAAATTCATAATTGTAAAAAAAGAGAGAATTTAAAGTATCTATATGAAGATCTTATATTTATAGATGAAAGAAGAGTTGCGAAGTCTTAAGAATTTTTACATGAAAAATCCATAAAGGGAAAATCAACAAAGCCTGGTCCAATTAAAATAATTTTACTAGTGTTGCCATTAATTACAAATAATGCCCTTTATTACAATGAGGGAATATGTTATTACAATGATGTTGACAATAATTATAGATGATTCATTCCATAGTGGGAGTTGTAAATGCAAGAGACATTTGAGTTATCTTCGAGAGATTTATATTTGTTTAATCATTCTCCTTTATGGAGATCAAATTAGAAACCAAGAATAGTATAAACTTTGATGCTAATGTAGAGAATCAAAGTTGATGTCGATGACACACATTGATCTATTAGCGATCGTTGGCATTGATGTTTGTAGCAATGCAGGGTGAGAAAGTCAACATGCATTGACATAAATGTGAAACTATGGTCATGTGATCTTAATCAAGAGACAATAGTAAGGATATCATTGGATGACAGCGTGGTTAAGTGATTATACATGGACAATGGTAATCACGATATATATATATA